CATATATAAAACACACACACACACACACACACACACATAAAATCAAATCACACACACACACACCAAATCGAATCACACACACACGTACACAAAAACACAAGCACACACAAATTACGTTGCACAGACCCTCTGAATAGACGGCTTCTGCATTTGGATGATTTGTCACAGAATCCGAAATATTTTGCGAACGCCGTTTTATTGTGCAAATCTGTCCTGATTGCTACATTGATAAAACCGTAGTATTTTCTTTTGATATATCTGGATATTCTCTGGCCGAAAGGGTTGTATGTAAATAATAGAGAGTCATGCCGACACAATATCAGAAAATCACCCCTTCGGTCCATCACAATTACAAAATGTTGAAATGGCATTCGTTAACATCGTATTTCAGATGCAGAATTTCATTTTCGTAATCTCCGGTTTTATTTCTATCGAGCCTTTGGTTTTCCCTGCTCCACCCTAAGCCTAAGTATGACAAAGATCAACATTGCATGTCGTTGGGCGAAGACGTGGCCACAAATCACGCGTAAGCTTCCGAACAAACTGGATTCACCTCTTGGCGGGAAATAATTTACAGCGACTGGCGGCCATGACTTGTAATTTGCGAGGAATATTTATCTAAAAAGGAGATACAGCTCTTGCGGTTTTTCTTTTGTTCAGATGTGTCGTCATTTATTCGCCTTTTGGGTGTAATTGGAGAAAAGAAAACGTATTATAAAAACAAAACAAAACAAAAAAAAAACACTAACACAAACAAACACGCTAACACAAGCACAAACAACCACACACAAAACACAAACAAACCCACAAAGACACAAAAAACAAACAAACAAACCACAAAATGAAGAAAAGGGATAATGGAGAAGAAAAAGGGGAGAAGACGGGAGACTCAAGAAAACAGAGCGAAAACGGAATGACTAATCACCCACAAGTGATCAGGTTTCGGGCGGCGGTTGATTAACTTGGGCTTCTTTATCGGCGATCTCCCGGGCTGCGGGCGTGAGGGGAATTATGCATCGCCGTCGCTTCTTTGGTGGTCCCTGGCGCGGCCCCCTGCCCTCCCTACCCCCTACCCCCTGCCCCCTGCCCCCTTGCCCGGTTCCTCTGCCCTTCCCTACCCTCTCCTGGCCTGCCTCTCCTCCCCCTTCCCCGCTCCTATCCCCTGCCCTATCCAGCCTATCCCTTGCCCTTCTGCCCTCCCCTCACCACCCCTTTGCCCCCTTGCCCCTCTGCCCCCGCCCCCACCTCGGCTCCCTAGCCCTCCCCTGCCCAGTCTCTCTGCCCCCTTGTCCTCCCCTCCTCACCACCCCACTGTCCCCTACCCTCCCTGTCCTCTCTGCCCCTCCCCTATGCCCCTGCCCTCTTCCCCCTCCTCTATGCCCCTGCCCTCTTCCCCCTCCTCTATGCCCCTGCCCTCTGCCCCCGGTTCTTCCCCCCCCCTTCCCCCCCTTCCCCCCCCCCCCCCCTCCTTCCCCCCCTCCTCCTCTCCTTTACCACGGCTTAAAGAGATCTCCATGTCTCTCACATCTCTTACGTAGAATTCCCTTGCTATTCATTTTCCTTTTGGATATGTATTCTGTCTACCTACATGTCTGTCTGTCTATGTATTTTCTCTCTCTCAGTCTCTCTCTGTCTCTCTCTGTCTCTCTCTCTCTCTCTACCTATCTATCTATCTGTCTGTCTGTCTATTTGCTTGTCTGTCTGTCTCTCTTTCTCTCTCCTTCCTTCCCTCCCTCCTTCATTCTCCCCCTTTCTTTCATTATCTTTATCTATCTTTTCCATCCTTCCTCCCCTCTGTGTGCACGCATCTACCTTTCTACCTTTCTCTCTCCCCTTTCGTACCTTCGTCTCCCCCATCCTATTAATGTGGCTTACTATTCCCTCTGTGCATATGCATACTTTTCTTTTCCTCTTCCTCCCTTCTCCTTCTGCCTTTCTTCCACTTCCCTTGTTCCATTCACTCTGGTCCTGCGCCTCGTCTATTTCCACTTCGTTATCCTTATTTGTGTCTTTCTATTTCTCTATTTCAGTTTTTTTTTTATTTTATTTATTTTTTTTTTTTGTTTCTGTTTCTCTTCTTTCTGCTTCCTTATCCTTATCTTATGTTTTTTTTCTTTTTCTTTATTCTTCATCTATTCTTATCTCTGTTACTATCTCTCTTGTTTCTATTTTCTTATCCTTATCTCTTTTTTTTCTATTCCTCTCTTCCTCCGGTATTCTCATCCCTTTCCTTAATTCCCTTATCTCCAATGTGCATTATCTCTATCTCTACCTATTCCTTCTTCTCTCATTGCCATTCCATTCCATCTCCATCATCCTCGTCTTCGTAACTTTTCTTGTCGCCTGATTTCTTCTGAAAAATATATCTTCCAATTATGGCTTTGAATTCGAGGTCAATTTTCCCTATTTCTTTTTTTTCTCTCTCCTCTTGTTCCTTTTCAACCAGGTAATCGTCCGCCTCCTCCCCCCTGTTCCTTCGCTTGGACCTATTTCCCTATTT